AAGAAAGAAAGAAAGAAAGAAAGAAAGAAAGAGAAGAAAGAAAGAAGAAAGAAAGAAAGAAAGAGAAGAAAGAAAGAAAGAAAGAGAAGAAAAAGAAAGAAGAAAGAAAGAAAGAAAGAAAGAAAGAAAGAAAGAAAAGAAAGAAAGAAAGAAAGAAAGAAAGAAAGAAAGAAAGAAAGAGCTGTGCTCCGCCCTGAATGAACTTGTAGTTTGCTGAGGAAGAACATCACTGCGTGACCCAAACTCTGAGGGAAGCGCTCCCTGCACTGAGAAGGTGCAACCAGGCCTGGAATTGTCAGGGTGCCTCTGGCTGCTGATACATGAAGTGTCTCGGGCTGCTCAGGAGCCCTGCAGAAGCACCATGTGGCGAGGGCCTTGTCAGCCCAGGGAGACCAGCGCCAAGACTGCGGTTACCAGGCTCATGGAGGGAAAGGGCTGTAGAGTCCTTAGGTCAGCCTGGCCGGCTGTGGTAGCATGTGCTTGGAAGCCCTGCCACTCAGGACGCTGAGGCAGGAGGGTTGCAAGTCTGAGCCCAGCCTCAGCGACTTAGCACTTGTCTTAAAATTAAAATAGATAAAAAGGCCTGAAGGTGTAGCCTTCTACTCCCTAAATTCAATCTCCAGTACTGAAAAAAAAAAAAAAAAAAAGATTAGCCCTGAACAAATCAGTGATTATTAACCTTGCCCCACCCACACTCACTGAAGCCCAGAGAGGGGCAGGGAATTGCTCAGCGTCACACAGCAAGAGGAGCCTCCAGATCCCGGGGTCAGGGGATTTTAAGACAGTGGTCCAGGACATTCACACACATAGAAGCACAGACTAGGCACCCAGGCCCCGGAGGGGTGCACTTGCTTATTCAATATCTACAGGGCTGCCCACGAGCCAGGACCACCCCGAGGCACCCGAGATGCTGGCTTCAGGAAAGAGTGGAGCGCACCAGGGCATCCGGAAGGCCACTTGCACCAGGCCCCTGGGTTGGGAGAGGGTTTGCCCAGGAGCAGGCCCAGGAGAAGAGGGAAACCCAGGGCTAGGTCATGCACAAGCCGAGGGATGAGGCGGAGGCGAATGCCTACGCTTGGGGAGATGCCAGAGTGAGGGCCTGGGGCATGGTGTGCTCCGAGGCTTAGAATAGTTCTGGTGTCAAGAGCGTCTGCCCACCTGTGGGGGCTACATGCTGCCCTCTGGCCCTGGTTTGTGGCCTCGGCTCTGCCAGGTGGTGCTGAGTTCAGGAGCCCCACGGGGGAGACCTTGGACAGCTCCCCCTCCCACCTCTGAGGTTCCTCTCTTGTTTTGCATTGTTTTTTAATTGGTGCCAGGGAAGATGAAACCCAACGCTTTTACACTGAGCTCCATCACTAGCCCTTTTATTTTTTTTTTTAATTTGGAGATAGGATCTTGCTAAAGTACCCAGGCTGGGCTTGGCTCGCAATCCTCCTGCCTCAGCCTCCTAGAGGGTTGGGAGTACAAGCATACCTCTCACACCCTGGTCAGGGACTCCCTTGTTTCTGGGTAGAGGCATCTACCACCACGGGGGGGGGGGGGGGGCTGCTGGCACCATGTGATTCTACACCAGGGATGCTGCCAAACGCCCTACAGGTCCCCAGACCAACTGACCCCAAATGCCAGCGCAGCCAAGATTGGGAACACCTGGCCTAGCACGCGGGCCCCCAGGAGCTTCACAGACCCTTGGGCATGGCTGCCGGTCTGTAGTCTTGTCCGGGAAGGGATCCTTGGGCCCACATGCAAGTGTTTCACAGAACTGGGGCGGCACAATCCCTGCCTTTTGGTCCAGGTAAATCTTTCTGTACAGGACTCTCTGGCCCCGTGTGTGTGTGTGTGTGTGTGTGTGTGTGTGTGTGTGTGTGTGTGTTCCCCCACTCACACACTGCAGCCATGTGTGGGACCGTCAGTGTCACTAGAGCCACACAGGCACCAGGGCTGTCTGGTGGGTGATCGGTGTGTGAGTGCTGCTTGTCCGGGATTGTCCCTCAGTGGCTGAGTGTGACAGTCTGCTCCTGGGACACAGCTGTCACTTCCAGTTGACCTTCTGCTGGACGTGCGTCTGGGTCTGTGGGTGTCACTGCGACCGTGCACGAGTGTCCTGTCCCTCTGAGCAGGGCCACAGCTGTGTGTGTGCAACTGGGAATCTGGGGCTATTTCCTGCCTGGGTGAGCTGGGGCTGAATCTGAGGTTGTTTCCTGCCTGGGTGAGCCCAGGCGGAGGGGTACAGGGCCCAGCCCCACTCCAGGCCCTGGGCAGCCCACTGCAGCTGGCCCTGTCCCACCCCATCCTGAGGGGCTGCTGATGGAGCGGCCCCTGGGAGTCGTTGGGGCAGCACGGGCAATTAATTCATTAGATTAATTAGCTCCTCTTCCCAGGCAGGGGGGCAGGGCATCCTGCGCGCGGGGCCTCCCGCTCCAGGCGCCAAGGTCATCTGGCTGGCCGCCCTCCTCTCCACTCTGCAGGCCCAGCCCCCGCCCCTGGCCCAGGGCCAGCCTGCTGGCCACGGTCCACGGAGAGAGAACAGCAGGGGCGGTGGGCCTGCGGGCTGCTTGCTGGAGTGCGCAGCAGATGTGGGCGTAGGTCTGCAAGGGAGGGGGGCACACAGTTTGTTGGGCAGATGTGTGTGTGCGAAGGTGTATGTATGATTGTGCACTGTGTCTACAGGTGTGCAATAGATGTGTGTCTGTATGTGCGTATGTATCAGCATATATCTGGGTTACTGTGTGTATATATGCATCTATACATGTTTCTCCTGTATGTATTTCTGTGTACATGTATGTATGGCACATACACACCAGTTTGTACATGCATGCAGGTGTGTGGATGTGTAGGTGTACTTGTGGGTACGAACGTGTGTGTGTGTGCCCATGTATGCATCCTTGTGTACAGTATCTGGGCGTACCAGTACCTGTGTGTCTGCATATGTGGATACATACATGTGTGCATGTGTGTGCAAGTGTGTGTGCATCTGTGCAACGGTGACTCTGCACGCTGCCTCTGTGGACAAGTATGCGTTCTGCGCACATGTGTATCTGGTGTGTCTGCACACCAGTGTGTGCTTCTCACACGTACACACTTGTCCTGTGTACCCACCCGTGTGCTCACGTATCTGGGTGGCTGTGCGTCTCTGTGTGCGTGCACTTCTGCGTATGTGTGTGCCTGTGTCCAGGCCTGTGCGTGTAAGCACGCGTTGGCGTGTTTCTGTGCCGTGGCCCAGTACTGCCTCGTGTCCCTGGAGGTCTGCAGTTGGCACGTGCTCCTCCTCCCTGTCTGTGGTCTGTGCAGGCCCAGGGAGAGGCCCATGCTGAGTGTGACTGCTGTGTGTGTATCATTGCAAACATCCATGAATGTGTGTGGTGGGTGTGTCCCCAACGCGGGTGTGCGCATGGGTGTGTACCCACATTCTCACCTGCCACCAGGGCTGAGCCACTCCCTCCCACAGGGCTGCTATCGCAGAGCTTGGAGTTCAACTCTCCTGCCGACAACTACACCGTGTGTGAAGGTGACAATGCCACCCTCAGGTACGTGCCATCCCGTTATGTCCCATCAGCAGCTGGTGGCCCTAGTCTGGGGTAGAGGCGCAGCCATGGGAGGGCATTATGACACACCTGCTGCTTAGGGCCACACCTCCAGCTATGGGCTGAGGCAGCCCTGAGCCTTTTGCTCTCCTGCTGAGACTCAGTTTCTCCACAAGCACAGTGACCACAGCAGTCTCCCTCTCAGGGCTACTGTGGGACCTGCAGGGGTGACCCTAACCATAACACCTCCTTCCCCAGCTGCTTTATCGATGAACATGTGACCCGCGTGGCCTGGCTGAACCGCTCTAACATCCTGTACGCCGGCAACGACCGCTGGACCAGCGACCCTCGTGTGCGGCTGCTCATCAACACGCCCGAGGAGTTCTCCATCCTCATCACCCAGGTGGGGCTGGGAGACGAGGGCCTCTACACCTGCTCCTTCCAGACCCGCCACCAGCCGTACACCACTCAGGTCTACCTCATCGTCCACGGTGAGCCGGGCAGGGGCGGGGTGGGAGCACAGACAGAGGGACGCAGCCCTGGGATGCGCTGTAGGACGGAGTCCCCACACCACAGAGTCTCCTACACCACATGCAGTCCATAACGCTGTCCCCAGTCCTGGGAACGCATCTGTGGACGATGGATTTCCACCAAGCACACTGGGGAAACCACAAGACAGTGACAGGGCCCCTCAGAGGAGGGTCGCGTGCGTCTGTCCTGTGCCACCACACACAGGGACTGCACTGAGCATATGCAGGAGCGAGGAAGGCTGCCCGCCCCTCTGTAGCTGATTTCTGGAAGCTCAGAGGCCTGAGCTGGGGACTTTGGCTGTGCACAGAGCTGGTGGAAACCACTGCCCCTCAAATAAAACAGGAAAGAAGGGAGGGGAGGGAAAGGAAAGGATAATTCAGAGCAAGAGGCGGGCTGCAAGGATCCAGAGACTGGGCTTCGGGGAGTGGGGGACAATGCTCGGAGACCACTTCATAGGAGGCGGGAGTGATCTGGTGTGTGGGACGCACCCAGACAGATGGGACCCAGACCCAGGGGACACCCACTGGGGTCACCATGAGCCCTGGCTCAGGAGCCAGGCCTCAGGTCTGGCCTCAGGGACGAGCCTCTCCAGCCAGGGACCGCTGAGTAAGCAGAGCCCCCCCTTGGGCTCCCTGGCCTTGAAACCAAATGGGGGTGGTGCTGTCTCTGCTCAAATCCAGGACAGCAGCAGCCAGGGAGGGCCTGTATTTCACGCTCTTCTAGAAAAAGAGAAAAGCTTCTGCCAATTAAACAGAGGCACCCCGTATCCCATGGCACCCTGAATGAAAAGCTCAAGTGAAGGGGGGGGGGGGGAAGAAATCCCAGACACATCTTAGAACTGCAGAAATACAGCAATGTCCAGCTCACGACAGGAAGGAAGACACTAATGAATGGATTCTTATAGAGCACTTAGAGAGCAATCTGCCACACGTGTATTTGTTAAGTAAATTAACTAAAATAATCATAAAAAGAGAGAGGAGGACAGGAATTCAGACCAAAAGATAGTGAAATCAAGTTAGGGTGAAGTGGAAAAAGATACAGATTTCAATATGGCCAGAAATTAGACCATGTGTGCAGCCCAGGTAGACTGCGGAGGATGGGGCAAAAAGGAAAGTGACAAACACAGGGGACTGTAAGAAGGACACAATGAGTGTCAGCCCACCCCTGGTCTGAGGGAACAGCTGGGCCTGGACAGGGGTTGGAGGGAGGAGCTGAGTGTTTGAGGGTTCCACATTGGGAAGGCCGGGCCTGGACCCCCAGGTGTGAGGGAGGAGGCAGAGCCTGGACCCCCTGTTTGAGGGTCAGGGTCTCAGGGAGGAGGCTGGGCCTGGACTTCAGGGTCTGAAGGAGGAGGCGAGGCCTGGACCCCCAGGTCTGAGGGAGGAGGCCAGGCCTGGACCCCTGGGATCTGAGGGAGGAGGCCCTGCCTGACCTCTGGAAGTGGGCCTCCAGCCTCTCCTGACCTCTCTCCCTGCCCACAGTCCCCGCCCGCATCGTGAACATCTCCTCACCTGTGACAGTGAATGAGGGGGGCAATGTGAACCTGCTCTGTCTGGCTGTGGGGCGGCCAGAGCCAACAGTCACCTGGAGGCAACTCCGAGGTGAGGACCCCAGCCCAGAATGAACGCCCTTGCCCTACCCTACAGTCGGGGCCCCTCCACTCACTGCCCTGAGCTGGATTCCCAAGCCCTTGCTGTGCGGCTCTGCCCTTCAGAAGACTGCATGGCACCCATACTTTCCCGGTCACGCATCACCAGACCCCAGACAGCCCTCACTACTGGCTTCTGCCTGCAGCTCAGGCCCAGGACGGGTTTTCCAAATCACCCATGAAGACCCTTCTTTTCCTGCTTCTCCCCACCCCACGAATGCTGCACTTGGGGATCCACCCCTAAACACCCCAAGTCCACAGTCCCAACCCCTGACTTGCATGCCCCGCATGTCCCACATGCTATCAGCAGGTGCCAGCATCCACCTCCCCTGGAAACTTGCCCCCCAAATGCACATTCTCAGGCCCTAGCCCAGCCGGAGAAAAGCCCCTTCCACCTCCACCCCAATGTCTTCATGACCTCGGGTGTGTGAATGGACAACCTAGGGCCACCACATCACGCCCCAGCCCTTTACCTGACCCCCCACAAGATCCCAAAGCTCTGATCCCTGCTCCCTGCATCTAGGGAGACCCAGAGTGCCAAGCATTAGGTCCTTGTGAATACCAGATCCCCTCAGACCCCAGAACCCAATTACTAGGTCACAAATCTTAGTTCTCTGGACCTAAGAGCTTGATTGTACAACTCTGGACTCATCCCTCTGGGCCTTTATTTCCTGGATTCTTCCGAGATCGAAGATTCTGGGATTCTCTTCCTCATTGGGATCCCAGACACGTCCATCTCCTGAACCCCAAATTTCATGACTGGCCCTACTGGGCTCCAGTTCTTAAGCCCGGCTCCTCGCACCTCGCCCACCCCGCAGCCTCCTCGGCCTCCGCTGACCCGGGCACTCCAGGCCCTGCAGTGCCGCCCCGCTGATGTGTGTCCCGTTGTGCTGCCCGTGTCGTCCCGTGTTAAGTGTTTGTGTCCGGCCCCGCCCCCGCCCCCTCCCTCCCCCACAGACGGCTTCACATCGGAGGGCGAGATCCTTGAGATTTCGGACATCCAGCGCGGCCAGGCGGGGGAGTATGAGTGCGTGACCCACAACGGGGTGAATTCGGCGCCAGACAGCCGCCGAGTGCTGGTCACAGTCAACTGTGAGTCCCGGCCCTGGGCACGGAAGGAGGCGCACTGGGGTCCTGGGGAGAGGGAGGTCAGAGGGGCGAGCGCCGGGGTGGATTCCCGGGCCTGCGGGAGCCCTCGCTGACCCACGCCCCTTGCCAGATCCGCCGACCATCACGGACGTGACCAGCGCGCGTACTGCCCTGGGCCGGGCCGCGCTCCTGCGCTGCGAAGCCATGGCCGTGCCGCCCGCAGACTTCCAGTGGTACAAGGACGACAGACTGTGAGGACGGCCCCGGGAGGGGGAGGGGAGCGTAGTGGGGGAGGGGCGGCGGGAGCGCGCAGAACCTGGGTTCCCCCAGCTCGAGTGGGGCTTGCGGGCGCTGGGTTGCCTGAGCCTGGGGACACTGGCTCGGGTCTCAGGACGAATGCTGGAGCCGCGTCTCCACGGAATTTTCTGATGGTGGGTTAGGGAGCCCCTGGGGATGGATAGGGTCGCGCACCGGAGCTGCCAAAGTCCTGGAGGGGGCGCGTAGCCTCGAGAGACAGTCCGCAGGAGGAGGGTCAAGAACCAGATGTGGGCGTCCTCGGAAAATTGGGGTGTTGCGCGCCGCGCCGAGGGTGCCTGGCCCAACCTCAACCCCGTCCCGCAGGCTGAGCAGCGGCGCGGCCGAGGGCCTGAAGGTGCAGACGGAGCGCACCCGCTCCATGCTCCTCTTCGCCAATGTGAGCGCCCGGCATTACGGCAACTACACCTGTCGTGCAGCCAACCGGCTTGGAGCGTCCAGCGCCTCCATGCGGCTCCTGCGTGCGTCCGCGGGCCGGGTGGGGTGGGGTGGGGTGGGGGGCACAGGGCCAACCCCGACTGACCCCCAGTGTAGGCCATACAGACGCTGAATCCAGTAATTCGACCGGGTAGGGAAAGAGACCGGATTCATCTGTATTCATGGAGCTCCAACGAAGGACTCTGGGGACACAGCAGTGACACAGTTTGGGGACTCGCAGAGCTTATGGACCAGTGCCAGAAAAGCAATAAAATGGACGCGTAGATAAGCAATCAAACAGATAGACACATGAGCAAAATATAACTTGGGTATTTGAGTAGCTAGAGAGAAAAGGAGTCATAGCTTGCGATGGTAGCGGTCAGGTAAGGTCATCAGAGAACTCAGCATTTAAACTGAGACTTAGGAAAGGAACGCTGGCCCACTGTGGGGCACACACCTGGTAGCCAGCTACTGGGGAGACTGAGGGAGGAGGTTATTAAGTTTGAGACCGGCCCAGTCAATTTATCTCAAAATAAAAAATACAAAGGGCTGAGCCTGAGCGCAGTGGGAGAGTGCCCCAGGGATCCGTGCCTAGTGCCAAAAGAGAGAAAGAAAATAGGAAGGGGAGAGAAAAGGAAACTCCGCCCGGATTTAAAAGGGCGTTTGCACAATCACAGCCAACAAACAGGTCAGGGGGCCCCAACTGAGCCTTTGGAGACATCTGTGGCCAAGAGGAAGGTGGAGCCCAGAGCAGCGCAGCCACTAGGGACTGCACTGTTCGGGCTGGCAGGGCTCCGCTGCGGAAGCGCGAGGGACCTGTGGCTGGCACCTCCATTGAGAATCACTTAGCTGCTTGAGGGATGAGGTGCGCGGTGAGCCCGCGGGGGCTGTGTGGCCGTCCAGAGCCTCAGGGGATGGCACAGGGCCGGGGCTTGGGGAGCTGTGGAAGTGGAGCCCAGGGGGCTGGGCTTGGGGCGGGAGAGCGAGGCAAGAGGGACTCAGGCGTGGGCTTGAGCAGTGGGGCAGGTGGAGACCGGTTCTGAGGCCCAGATAGGCAGCTGGACTGGGAGAGGTCAGCGGGATGTGACGGAAAAGAACGGAGAGCTGAGGATAAAATGTAGGTGGGGATGCTAGGAGGACAAGAGGAAAGGACAAACGCGGAGAGCTTAGAGGGGATGGAAACAAAGCGAAAGGGAGAGGACGCCATGACTCAATCAGGACACAGGCAGAGTGAGACCCCAAAAGACCCCCAGAGAGAGAGAGACCCCCAGCGCCAGCCAAGGTGGTTCCCACCTGCATTCCCAGCTCTCTGGGAAGCTACTGTAAGACCCTCTCGCCAAACACAGAAAAGGGCTGGAGATGTAGCTCGGTGTGAAGGCACCAGGTTCCATCCCGAGTACCGAAACAAAAGAAACAGACCCCTGGAGAGCGACCAGGCACAGACATCCACCCACGCAGCCTCGGCTGGCCCTCAACCCTGTCCTCTTCTCTTTCCCCAGGCCCCGGATCTCTGGAGAACTCAGCCCCGAGGCCCCCGGGGCCCCTGGCCCTGCTCTCCGCCCTGGGCTGGTTGTGGTGGAGAATGTAGGCGCGGCCAGTGCAGGGCGCCTCCCCCCAGGGGGCCTCAGGCCAGAGCGAGAGGAAAAGGGGGAGCAAGCGCTGTAGGTTTCGAGGGGTCAGAAGAGCTCTCAGTCACTCGAGGAAGAGAAGCAGGAGGAGGAAAGATCTTTAGAGAACCCATCACTGTGAGGGATAACGCAAAATTATGCATCTTTCTACAGCCATTCTCGCCACCCGTTCACCTTTCCGATTGTGACCCAGCCCCGGCCGCCCCACACCCCTCTCTCAGCTCAGGCTGTCCTCCACTGGCTTGTGTGTGGGTGTGTGTGAGAGTGTGCGCCTGCACGTGTGTGTACGTTTGTGTCAGCGTGGACTGGGGAGGGGAGTGCGCCCCCCAAGCCCCCTGCCCGACCCTGCCGGCACCCCCGAGGTGTGGGTGCTTCAGGCTCCCGGCGTCCCGCGCATGCTCGCACCGGCACCGACACCCCAGTCCAGCCCTGTCCAATCGCACCTCCGCGGCAGGTTGAGAGTGGGGTGGGCTTTCACTGACCCATCATCCAGCCTTTGTGACTCGGTGGGGACCTCTATCGTGGCTCCCTTGGTTCCTCCTCCCTGCTGCACACCAGCTGCCTGCCGCCAGAGGTCTCCTCGCTGGCGCAGTGGCCTGAGACCTCCCCACTTCCCTCTCTGTTCCCACCCTGGACTTTCTGGCCCTCTCCCGGGCTAATCGGTGCTTCCATCCAACTGTCAGGCTGGTGGCAGTAGCCGCCTGTCCCAGTGCTTTGCCCTCCCCTGCCACCCCTCCTCTTGGCCACCTGCAGCACCCACCAGCTGCCCCCTGGTCCCTGCAGTCTGCGGCCTCTTCACTCACTGGCCCCAAAGGCTGACCTGACCGTCTTCGCATGCGTGCACGCACGCGCACACACCCATGACCAGCAATACCCGCTGGTTCCAGCTGCCCGGTAGCTGGTGTCCAGCCGTGGTGTCCCCAAAGCGGGCACTGTCGTCAGGCAGGGACGTTGTGAGTGTGGCTTCAGCTCAGATGGCCAGGTACTCAGCCCTGGTCTGCCACACCACAAAGAGCAGGGGGGAGAGGTGTCACATAGACATCCTGAGCCCAGACAAAGTCGCCGTGTCACCAACCCCGACTCCCTGAGACCCTGTATAACCACCTACCCAGAACTACCCCACCCAGAGTGCGGTGGTGAAGAGGGCAGAGGGACACCGGGGCAGTGACTGTACCTCAGACGGGGGCGTGGGCCCCATCACACATTGTCTTCCATTCCCAGGGTCCAGGGGACCGGGTGGGGTGGGGGAGGGGCTCGGGGAAGGGGGGCGGGGGCCCTGGGGGCTGTGTGTTCCAATTCATGGGGAGTGTTGAGACCACCACACCAATAAACGCCTTTTTCCAAAGTCTCTGCTTACAGATGTCAGTGTGGTTAGAGTCGGGTGAGTGGAGGGCCAAGGGTGTGTCACTTGGTGGTGTCCACTCCTGCCTCGTTCCTGCCCCTGACTCTTTCTGGTAGATTTGGAATTGGCCCATTACAAAGTTGGCCTCTGATGGGCTTAAGCCACTTGGAAGAGCCTCTTCCCTACTGTGATTGGCTCAGACGTGGACCTACACTTGGTCAGGGCTGTGAGAGGCACAGATGGCACGAAGGGACGCCTTTCTGGGGGTGGTGGGGCTCTGAGAAGGCGGCCTGCATCTGCCCCGTGGAGAGATGTCTAGTCCGCGGGACAGCGACGGCCAGCCGAGAAGACCGCGTGTGAAGGCCGAGCAGCCAAGGAACGCAGAACACAAGGGCTGAGAATCTGAGTCTCTGGGACATCGTTTGTGCAGCTGGATAGAAGTGTACCTGATGCCGTCCTTCACTTACACAAGCAATAAAGCCTCATGTGTGTGTACCCCGCGTGAGTCGAGTTTTCTGTGTCTGCAGATCCTAAGGAAATCGCAATTACCCTTTACCCGCAACAGAAAGGGGCGCAGGCACGTGAGACTACTTAACGTCCAGGGCCGGACTTTACCACTGTCTCCACCCCCCCAACTCTCATCGAGTAGCTGTTTCTCCTTTTCTGCCCTGAGACACGTGCTGCATGTCTTCATTTGCTTTCTTCTTCGCTAGTGGACCCACCTATAGACTGAAAATATTTTGTTTCAAAGTCTTCTTGTCCACTCTCTGGGCGCTTATGGCCAAAAACAGGAAGCAAAGTCGGCTGGTTGACTTCCAAGAAAATCTGCCCCTCCACCCCCACACACAGGAGGAGAGAGACGTGTGAGTTGTCTTTGGATATTGTTATGGGAAGATGTGACAGCTGGAGCTACAGCAGTCATTTGGTTAAAGGAGGCTGTAACAACACATGCATAAAATATACCAACCCACTAAACAGTGGCACAGCAGACAGATTCCAAGGGTCCAGGTCTAGGTCCCAGATGGAGCCACTGAGTTGCTGAGACAGGGTGAAGCCATCTACCTTTATATTTTTTTATCACCAGTTCTTTTGTTTCTTGCTGTTGAAAGAATCCCCACTAGCATACCCCCTTAAATTCTCAGTGTGCAACCCAGTGGAAGCAGGCAGGCATCGGGCTGGGGACAGTGTAGGCAGCCTCACTCTTGATTGGCATCAAAAATGCTTGATCAGTTGGCAAATGGGTATCGATTGACTGCTGTGTGCCAGGCCCTGTGTTAAGTGCTGAGATAAGATTGTGGTTTGTGTCTTTGTAGATCTGTTGATGGAGCAGATCTGAGCTACTCAAGGAATTAGTATCCGCAGACCGGGAGGGGAAGTTCAGGAGCGCTGGGACTCCACCCGTGACCAAAGTAAAGAAAAAGGTATCCATCCCGGGGTGGGCAGAGCTGCCTTGAACTTGCTAAGTGACAGGAGAAGCATCCAGGTCAAGCCCTGGGGACTCGGCAGGGCTAAGAATAAGCCTATATTGGTGAGGAGGGGGCAGTCCTGGAAAGAGAGGTCAGGGCAGCTGGTAGAGGCCAAACCACGAGGCCCTGCAGGTCAAGAACAGGGTGTGGGTAACACAAAGGGCGGGTGGCAGCCCTAGAGGCCTCGAGAGAGCCGAGGGTGGGATCTAACCTGCTTTATGATGCAGTCTCTGAGAGCCCAGCCAGAAGGGGGTGGAGCAAAGTGAGGCCAGGGACCGGCGGGATCTCCCCTCGAGCCAGAGCAGCACAGCACACAAGTCTGTCTGCCACAGCAGATTGTGCGGACACAGAGGTTGTGCAGCCCACACTGCTTAACTGTACCAACACAGGTTGAATCTTCTCCAACGAGAGGAAGACAGCAGTCTCACTTTTGGTGGCCAACTCCCAGTCACAGCAGGCCCCACCTGCTGCCAGGGCAAAACAAGAAGTCTTGACTCCACATTCCCAGCGTAGAGTGGGATCTTGGCGTGGATCATACCTGCGTGGCTGTCCGGACAGTTCTGGGGCCCCCAGTAGGAGAGACAACTACCCAGCGCGTCTTGGGCCCAGTGGCCTGGAAGAGAGGCAGGGGAGGGGTGACCTCGGGGTGCAGCCTGGCTGGGACTTGACTCGCGCTTCTCACTTCTCCACCTGCAGCTCAAACTTTTCAAATACTAGCTGCACCCGAAGGTTTTCCAGAAGAAAAATATTAAGCTATACATGGGAGAGCCAAGGTAGACAGCAACCCATGTTTTTTTTTTTTTTAATTTTATTTATGTGTGTGTGTGTGTGTGTGTGTGTGTGTGTGTGTGTGGCCAGCTCAGCCCACCAGGGGGCGGGGCTGGCTGGCATGTGGTGCTGGGGGATTGAACCGCGGTCTCCCTGTGCTTTGCTAAGCTTGTTCTAAATAGGTGCTTTATACCACTGAACCATCTCACCAGCCCAGCAACCCATCTTCTATGGGGAAAGGAGGTAACTTCATCCTGCCTTAGAAAGAAAAATGGAGGGGGCCTGCCCATTAGCGCAGTTGGTTCAGTGCCTGCTTTAACAAAGCAGTCAGGCTCAAGATGCTCTGGTTCGAACCCAGTCTCTCCCAGGAAACCAGAGATGCATTCAAGGCATCTTGAGATGGCCAATAAATAAATAAATAAATAAATAGAAAGAAAGAAAGAAAGAAAGAAAGAAAGAAAGAAAGAAAGAAAGAAAAATGAAAGTCTTGCCCAAGTTTTATAAACTACATCCCCAGCCCTTTTGATTTTTTTTTTTTTTTTTTTTTAAGGTACAGTCTGACTAAGTCACTAAGTTGCCCAGGCTGGTCTAGAACTTGTGACCCTCCTGCCTTAGCCTCCCAGAGTGCTGGGATTGCAGGTGTGTACCACCATGCCGGCTCCTGGCCAATTCATGCATTTTTAAATAAAGGGACAAAGTTTTATCATCTTTGCAAACAAGTAAAAGAAAGAAGGACACCTTCCTCTTCCTGACTATATTTTGCCCTTATTCTGGAGAAAGTGGGGATACTGCACTTACTAGCTGGGCCTTGGCTGAGCTGGGGTCTTCCAGTGGAAGTTTGAAGGGCAGCAGCTGTGGGGTCTGCATTGGGGTCACACCCGGTGTCTTCTTTTCTGGTGTGGCAACCACAGGCTCCAAGGTTGGAGGATACTTCTTTTTCAAATTAGACTTTCCTGGGAAGAAGAGGTAAATGAACATTTGATTGGCTGTTTCAACATGCTAATCAGCCAATAGTAAGAAAAGCTGGACTAAGGGGTGGGGCTTTACTGTGACATGGAGGTAGGAAGGCAAAGCGGATGACCTATGACTGTGCTAATTGGCTCAGCTAGGTCTCTGACTGGGTCTTTGCTAGGGACCCTCCCAGTGAGACCCTCCCTGTTGGCATCTTCCCCAGAACCCTCACTCACCTCTAAAGCGCAGCAGGCAGCAGATGCACAGGAGAATGAATGTGACCAGCAGGGCCAAGCCTAACAGAGAGCCCAGGACAATGCCTGCGATGGCCCCGGGGCCCAGGATGGGACCTGAAAGAGACAGAAGGGAGGGACACATGGGAGCAGGACACAGGCTGGACCCAAGTTGCCTAAGCTTCTAACTCCTCCTTTGTGTGTGGGAAAAGGCATCCAGGCCTCCTGCTAGTTCTTAGAACCTAGAAATGTAGCGTTTACTGAGTGACACTCTGTGCCGGGCACTAGGCCAGATGGTGAGACTCCACTGGTGGGCAGAACACTGGGCTGCTGTGGGCATCAGCTCCAAGAGAGGAGGCAGGAATAAATAAGCAACAAGTAGAATAATCATAGCTGGTACTAAGAACAAAAAAAAAAAAAATGTGCTATGACAAAAATAATAGGAGGGGAGGGGACGATCAGAAAGGGCATTGACTAGGGATCCAAAGAAGCCAGTCATGCCAAACCTGGGGGATGGGACTCTGAGAATAAATGGAACATGCCAAGGCTCAGAGGGAGGAAGGAGTTTCCTGTGTCTGATGCGGACCAGTGTAGGTGAAGACATGCATCTAGGTGAGAGGTAGCGAATGGAGTTAGGCCAGGTCCCAGAAAGACTATAGGAATTCATGGAAGGCATGGGTTTTAGTGGGGCGGCCTATTGATCTGAACTGCCTGACTTTGGCTTCTACCTGGAGGATGGATTATAGGAGAACAAGAGGAGGGATACAGAGGAGGGCTTGACCAGGGCCTTAGAGTGAAAGTGGAAAGAAGAGAACGGATCAGGAAAAGCATTTTGGAAAGCAACTGATCAACCCTACTGGTAACTGGGATGCTGAGGGGTGATTCAGGGAACATGAGTGGTGCTACTCAGTTAAGATGGGCAAGATTGGGGGGGCTGGAGCATCCAGCTTTGCAGAGGAAACATCAAGGGGTCTATTTTGGATATATCTCAGTTAAGATGCTGGTGGGACACCCAAAGTAAGATGTCAGGTAGGGATTGGCTTATTCAAGGTCTGGAGTTCCAGAAAGAAGTCACAGCTGGGGATGAAGCATTTGGGTGTCACCTGAGCAGTAAGGATATTGAAGGCCATCAGTGTGCACAAGATCTCCCTGGGGACAAATACCTGTTCATATTGAGGTGCTATCCCTGATACCGGTGAATGCAGCCTTATTTTGGAATAAGTGCTTTGAAATGTAACCAAGTCGAGGCTGGTGAGATAGCTCAAGGGACTAGGCACCTGCCTAGGCAAGTGTAGGGACCAGGGTTTGATCCCCAGCACCACATGCTGCACTGGCCCCGCCCCCAGGTGAGCTGAGCCAGCCATCAAGACTAGGCGTGGTGGGGCACACCTGTAATCCCTGTAATCCCTGAACTGGGGAGGCTGAAAATATGAGCCTGAGCTGTGTAGTTTTGAGACCCTGTCTCAAATATATTTTTTAAAAAGTGTAATCAAGTTGATGTGAGGTCACCAGCGTGGCCCTTGTCCCACATGTCCTTATCGGAAGGAGACAGAGACACCCAGAGGAGGGAGAAGACCATGAGAAAGCTGCAGGTGGAGACTGCAGTGACCCATATGCAGCTGAGGAATGCCCAGAATGGACATCCACCGGAATGGACATCTACCAGAATGGACATCCACCGGAATGGACATCCACCGGAATGGACATCCACCGGAATGCACATCCACCGGAATGGACATCCACCGGAATGGACATCCACC